TATTATACCTGTAAGCTTTCTCGCAGCGTCTGCATTTATCGTTTGCTCTAACACAAGGTCAATAGGTTGTCTTGAAAATGGCTTAGTAGTTCTTTTAATTCCAAAGCAACCTTTTTGAAACTCTTCATATAAATTGGGATGAGTTTCGCCAACTCTCAGTAGATTATCATAGTATTTAACGGCCCACCTAGAGTAGTTCTGTTGATTACATATAAAAAAAATATTTGTAATTTTAGGTAACACGGTTTTAAAAAGTTCAAAATCTCCAGTACGAACACTTCGAGATAAATCCAAATAGTGATGGATGAGGTTGGTATAAATTAAATAAAATTGTGATGTTTTACCATGCTCTCCACGAAGGGTTTGTTGCTTGTAAATCCCGTAATTATTAATCAGATCTTGCAAATTTTCATTTTCAATTTCAAATAAAGACATTTTACAATTTTGAAGCCTTTTAATTTCATCTATTATATCATCAGTTAAAGTGATATTATTATTTTGTAAAAATGATTGGAAATGTAATATCTCAAGCCCTAATGTCATTAAAGGATGCAATCTTTTGCAGCGATTAAAGTGTTTACCATCTAAAAATCCATTACCTGAACCATTTGCGAGCATACTACTCTCAACCATCACATTTGTTAATCCACAATCACTAATTATTTTACCAACAGCTTTGAAGTAAGCCATCATTATGTGAAACGGTCCCAAATGAATAAATAAATTATCAAATTTTGGCTTCTCCGTTGCTTGAATTTGTAACGCAACTTTTGCTATAGCAAGATCATAAGTCACTTGTATGTTACTTTGGTTTACCTCTGCAGCAATTTGTTGACTTTGTTTCATAGTTTCCAATACAACCGATATACTGGTTGGCGATGCATTGATTGGAGTCAAATATGATATAAGTTGTTGTGGACTGTCATGATCATCAATCCGACTATTAAAACCAACCCACATGGGTACATCTGTTAACTCCAGCGCGTGGCTAACCATCCATATTTTGTCAATGTCAGTGTATTTTCGGGTATCTACATAGTTAACGTCATTGACCGCTTGTTGCAATTCACTCGTCATTTTAGGCTTCTTAGTGTATGGAACTTCATCAAACCCTACGGTATCTACTGTTCTTCTTCGTCTTTTTTCTTCTTTCTTCTGCAGCAAAACATTTTCAGTACTTTCACTCAGAACTTCGGGCATCTCACATTCTTCAAATGTTTTTGTGCTTATATTCGACGTAATATTCTCGGTGTTTTCAGTCAGTACCTCGGACATCACAGGTTCTTCATTTGTATCTAGATCAATATTCTGATATACAATTCCAACTGTGTCGTGTAAAGTATCTTTACCACTAGTTGTTTCGACAAATCGATCAAAATTATCATATGCCACACCCGTACAAAGATTTGGCTTTTTTATTATTTTTTCGGGACATACGCTGGATTTTTCTATCGTTGTATATGTGCTTTCAGTTTCTAACTCTTCTACGCCTTGATAACTAATGCAGTGTCCATATCTATTTATAATATCAATTATTTTTCTACTGCTTGTTAAACTCTTGAGGGTGATACCTAACATGATATGTTTCGACGTCTTAACTTGACCATTATGAACACCGTAAATAAGATCTTGAGAATAAGAACGAACAAGACGTGCACATTTTGGGCTATTTTTTCGATTTCGGTTACATCCACTAAGAAGGGTAAAATAAAAGTCTGATAATTCTTGAGGTATCGAAACTTCTCCTGATATTAAATGCTCTGATGTTATTTTTTTTGTTGGTATTTTATTTTTTTCAATTTGGAGTATTAATTTTCTTAAAATCAATGCAGACTTTCGTAAAATGTTCTCTGTTTGTAAATTATCTAGAATAGAATCATCTATAGCTTGTAGATATTTTGGAGCTATTATTTTCTTATTGCGAATGTTAAAAAATTTTATGTCCTTAGAAAATATCTTCAGAATTTTCTCTTCAAGATGGTGTGCTGTAAAAATACCAGTCATATCCATAGAATTTTCTTTAAGACGATTTTGTAATAAATCAATATACAGGTCATGTAAATACACCAATAAAAAGCAGCGTCCTTTTTTAATCACGTCTTCGTTAATAATTGTTCTAATTTCCTCAAAAACTATTTGGTGATACTTTCGTTGGTAATGCCACTCCGTTTTGTCAGGTTGTGCTGTTAAAGAAGATAACTTATTATTGAAACCAACTCGGCATTCTGTATGATAAAAAAATTTTAGGCCAGAAAAATTATTCAATTTATTTAAAAAATCGTTATACTCTTCATGACCTTCAATCTTGGAAATGATGCTAGTTTTAAATTTATCAACATCAGCTGCATGAAGCGAAAGCATTCTAGATCGAATTTTTTTTTTTTCTATCACAAAAAATACAAACGATCTCGTTGTCATTATTACCAACAATATTATCCGACGAAATAATCATGTCCTGAATTGAAATATTATTATCACTAACATCCGGTTCAGAAGAATTAGAATGATCCTGAAGAGTTGAAGATTGTGGACTTTTTGGTGGAGAAATTTTAATTACCTGTGATGTCGTGGGAGATTCTGTAGGTACAGGCTGTAAATAAGATTCATCTTGTGATGTAGAAGGTTGTGCTCCGATTGATTGGGAACGTAAAATTTCTTGCGATTTTATTTGAGATTCCAAATCAAGTGGTACTGAACTCGACTGGAGTGTTGATGATGAAGTTGGAGATGAGTTGCCGGTTAGCACACTGCTTATTTGTTTTTTTCTTTTTATTTTTTTCAGTACTTACAGGTTCATTACTGAAGTATTTTTTCATGAGACCTGTAAATGCTTTATAACATGACCGGTGATAACGATTATCTATATATTCACCAGGTAAAATAATGTTTTTATACTTGAGGTTATGTATTTTTCTTAATTTTAAAATAGTTTGACATTTTTTAAAAGTCTCTTCCGAAAATATTACTAGATCTTCACCACTTTTTTTACAGACAAAACAAACTTCTTCTACGTTTTCGTCACTCATGATAAAAAATTTATTTATTTATTAAAACTGGATCACATTTATCAACCAAATAACACAGTTTAATATTACAATGTTTACTATTACTACGACTATATAACTGTTCACTGAATAATACAGAGTAAACGACAGCTGATGCGCAGTAAAAGATCGCAATAAACCGAACGGCCTGTCTCACTCGCACCAGTTAGTACATAAGCACCGCGCTCTCACATTTTCTATGCACTCCAATGCGTCTGGCAGGATGATGGAACCCTCGAATGTGTCTGGCTACTAAAGAAACATCTTTTTATAGTTCCCCAAAAAACATATATAAAATTCAGCTTTTAAAAAATAACGTAAGTAAAATTACAAAATATTATAGTTTAGGGGTGTCTGGCGAAGGGTTGGAACCGTATTAAGCGTCTGGTAATGAATGACGTAAGTTGTGATATTGTTACAAACAGATATATATAAAAAATAAGTTTTATAAATTAATAAATTTAAGATGGAATTTTATACACCTTTATTACCTGTTACCTGCCAAAGCCACCACTACCCAGGTATAATGGGTGGGGATCGTTCTTACCTTTACTAAAGGTATACATAGAAAAACTTTCAGCTTATATTATAAAAGGAAGGTCTGGCAGTCACGGGCTCTTGCTCTATGTGTAGATTCTAAGATTATTTAGCAGGTAACTATACTGGTGTAAGTTTTTTTTTTTATGTTAGAGGGGGCAGACGAGCAGACAGGTCACAAGATGGAAAGTGACTATCGCCGCCCATAAACGTCTGTAACTCAGGAGTCACAAACGCGTTGCCGGCCTTTTAGGAATGAGTACGCTCTTTTCTTGAAGGTTTGAAGGTCGTATCGGTCCGGAAATACCGCAGAAGATAACCCGTTCCACAGATGAGGGGCAAAAATTGTCTCGAAAAGCGCACAGTAGTGGAACGATGGCGGAAATTTGCGGCTGGTATTAGTCCGAACAATTCCACGGAGCACTCTCCATGATATATGCGGTAGAGAATGCAGAGTGAAGCTACATCTCTACGTAACGCCAACGTATCGAGCCGGTCGCAAATCTTTTGGCTATCGACGATTCGAGTCGCTCTTCGTTGGATGCGGTCCAGAGGGAGAAGCTGGTACTGAGGTGCCCCTGCGTAGAGATGAGAAGAGTATTCCATATGCGACTGGACTACTGCCTCGATCTGTTCAGCACACCGAGCTTCTTCGAGGCCAATTTGACCTTACCCTCTAAGTGACCCCGAAACTGGACTTCGCTCGATATGTCGATGCCTAGGATTCTGATGCTGGCTGAGGCAGTTAGGGAGGTTCTCTCAAACTGAGGTGATACGGTAAATGGTATCTTTTTTGCGGTAAACGCGTAAACCTGTGTCTTTTTTGGGTTAAAATGGACTAGATTTAGTCGGCCCCAATCTGAAACCTCCGCTAAGGAAGACACAACACACTTCAATTTCAGACACAACTTTGTTACGACTCTCGATTACGTTTTCCCTAGAAATGTTCGGGCGGCCGGTATAAAGGGCATCTCCTGTGCTGTCATCTGCATAGCAAGAGATGCTACTAGTTTGCAACATGTCATTGATATGCAGAAGAAACAGTGTTTGTGATAGCACACAGCCTTGTGGGACATCAGCATTTACGAATTGCAAGTCGGAGCATGCACCGTCGACAACGACCTTAATGCTTCTGTCCGTAAGGAAGCTGTTGATTGGGTCAACAGCTTTCTTACACAATTTCTCGGGAAGCCCAAAGGAAGGGAGAAGCTTCGAGAGAAGGGTCTTATGCCAGACCCGATCAAAGGCCTTCGCTATGTCCAAACCAACCGCACAAGCCTCTCCTTTGGTCTCGATCGCTTGTGCCCACCGGTGTGTTAGAAAGACGCGAAAATCACCAGCTGAGCGACCCCGGCGAAAACCATATTGTCGGTTAATATATTAAACAAGAAGACAAATATTATATTTGATATAACTCACCTGTAATAAATCACTCAAAAGAGTCTGTGCTTTAATTCCCGCATTACAGTGACAGAAATATCGAGAAGAAGGTATACCAATATTTCCCATGGAATGCACCATATCTATTATTAGTAAACCATCAGCAACAATTATTGGATACTCCTTTTGTTCTTCGGATTCATCATTTTTATTTTCACCCACGGACACGGATTTTCCTAAGCTCAGGGCCACTTTTAATGTCAGATATGTCGTATCAAAATTATCGTCAGTATTTAAATCGTCATCTAGGAAATTTGGATTTTTAAAACCACCCAGGAAACAAAATATATCAGCGTCGTCAATGCTGAAATAATAAAATCTCTTTTGAGATATCATATTTGTGTAGAGGATTAGACTTCCGGCTTACCAGACGAGCACTAAATCAAAAAATCGTAAATGAGTAAAAGTCACCTGTGCTCACATAAAGCTAGATAAAAAAACAATTAACTATTTAAATAGTATCACCGACTTCAATACGTACGATTTGTAACCGGCATTCTTCATCCTTTAATTTTTACCCTTAGGGGTAGTATTTTGACTTCAAATTTAAATGAGACCAATCGAGAAGTACCTACCTTCCCGACCGAGTAAAAATACTTTATTTAATCGTTTCATAAATGACTGAGTTATGAGGTATCAAACTAACAAAATTATACAACCAAATTGAGAACCTCCTCTTTTTGTTGAAGTCAATATATAATAATATGTTATCCCACAGAAAAAATAAGTAGATTACCTTGGTAAGTCGGACGTAGCCACTATTGTGTTTAAGCACCCAAAATTACAACCTTTTAAGTCCTGTATAAATCCTTCAGCTTCCACTATTTCATTAGAATAAACTAACAGTGTTATATCAAGTGTTTGTTTCGAGCCAAATGAAGATCCCGCTAACATTCTAATAATAGCTATTTGAGCAGAATCTATAAGAGGATTCACAATCAGAACCCTTAAAGGTTTTTTTCTTGGCCAATAAAACATCATGGCTACATTCATCTCAAGGTCTAAAGGTGTTATAGAAAATATTTATAAAATTCTAAGAAATATTTTAAAATCTTCAACTTCCCTTTTTTAATGTCAAATAAAAATGCGCTCTGATAAATTATGAAACCTGTCTAAAGTTTACCAACAACTGTCTAAAACCTATAAATTATAGACTATATGAAAACGAAAATGTATAGATTACATAATTATGAATATAGGTCATAGACTATGAGGGGTAGACAAAGGAGAGCCTACGTAATTATTTAAATAACAAAATGGAATACTCTGAACTAACTACCGCTAAAATAGGAGTGACCTTTTGTGTATCGCTCCAAAGTCTATTACTCAGTCAGTACCGTTCAAAGTCTTTTTTCACCGATATAAATATTGTAAAAACATTAAATGCTCTTAGTGCTAGGAAAACCACTGACCTGGGGGATGATTCTATGTTAAAAAAAACAACAAATTAAATTATTAGCGTAGTTGCATGAGAGTTGGCCTTAATTTTCAATAAGTAATGTGGAGTATTTCCTAACCTAATAAAACATAGTAAGATCATTACTTTATTTAAGGCGAGTAGCACGTCTAATCCTACAAATTACAGACTTATTTCAGTGTTACCTACTTTGAGTGAACTTTTTGAGAAATTCTACTAGATCAGCAACTCACTTTAGGGTAAACAAAATTCTACACAGAAAACAGTTTGGCTTCAGAAGAGGTCGCTCGACAATTGATGCTGGTGTTAAACTTTTGGCAAATACATTTATTGCCTGGGAGGATAAACGGGATGCGCTTTGTGTTTTTTTGTGATTTGTACAAGACTCTAAGGAATTTAATTGCGTTTTTCGGACACATTTAGATTAGTGTATTTTAGTTAATAGGGTTTAAAGTATGAAATTGCCGTTGTAAAGTAATAGACACTTTGAATTGACATAAAACCTTCATGGTGTAAGATTTTCGTGTAAAACTTTTTATCAGATACCTATGAGGTTCTTCTTTTAAAAAATATGCAACTTTCGATTCACGACTTTCAATTATTTTTTTACTCAGCTTCAACGTGAAAGATAGATACTTCGAAAATCCGAGGAGTCATTTTTGAATACGAGTTCCGACGCGAAACAAACGCGGCAGTAACGGCTCATGATTTGACTGGTCTGCAGAAAGAAATGGGTGTTGACACTTGTGTTGCCTTGTTGTATCGGTACAGAAATGATTGAATTCTGACATGTGACTAAAAGTGGATTGTTTACGATAACCGTAAGCGAAAAATACAATGGCTGACCCTACCAATAAAAAGGTAACTATTTGGTGATCTCTTCGTGGTGTTATCCACTATAGCATTCTGAGGCCTAGTCAGGCAATAACAGCAGATGTTTACTGACATACGTCATCCTCCGTACTCGCCAGACCTTGCTCCAACGGGCTACCATTTTTATCATGATTTGGACAATTTTCTACGTAAAAAAAACTTCTTCCCAGGAGGCAGTACAAAATGATTTTATTTATTCATTTATTTCAAACTTATGCACTTTTGTATTTCGGCAGACTTAATGCACAGTTTGAATCTAGATCCCCCGTTCTATCGTAAAGGCATAAATGAACTTCTGTTTCGATAGCATCAATTTATAGATTAGAGGGTAAATATTTTGAATAAATAAATATATTACATCTTACAACAAAGAGAAGTTTCAACTTTTCAGTACAAATCGGCAATTTTATACTTTAACCCCTAATTTTGTTGTGAGGGAATGCTGCTGATATTTAAAGTATTTTTGTGTCGCAAAAGATTTATAGTCTCGCAATTCATATTCATTTGCGCCAATATAATCTCTGTTATAGGCCGTCACTGATGGATAAGTTTAAAGACATTGGTATTGTGACAGTCGCATCTCAATACATATATAAAGATTTAGTGTGTATAAAGAAAAATATTGATTTATTCACAAAGTTTAGTGACCTAGATCATAATATAAACACTAGAAATAAAGATAAACTCGTTTTGCCACCGACTAGACTACAAAAAGCAAGCAAATTTTTTCGATGTCAGGGTGTGCGATTTTCTACAATAAAATTCTAAGCAAATTTCATACATTAAGTATTAATAAATCTAAGTCCTTAGTAAAATGAAAACTATGTGAAAATGTAAGAAGGCTTACTATACGGTGACGGTTATTATTTCCCAACCCTATTTAATCACTTATATGGCTAGTTTAAAAAGTAAAAAAATAGGTGTCCAATTATTATTATTTTTGATAGAGAATATGATGAAACTGAGAGTTTGGAATCGATAAGTTAAAAAAATAGCACTATCATAATATCAGAACAGATACTAGAGGTGGCGGTGTTTCCATCTATATCCATGATACTCTTACTCAAAGCAAGGACGAGGGGGTGTACGTAGGGGGCGTCAACTACCTTTGGGTTTATCTTGAGAGACACTCATTAAACATAGGAGATGTCTACAATCCAGGTAAAACAAACATGAGAGATTTTCTTGAAATTTATTCATCACAACTTGTAAAGAAATCCCGGTCGATTATTTTTGGTGATTTCAATGTTGATTTATTGAAGAACAATGCCAAGACCAAGTTGTACCGTGATACCTTGTATTACGGGAGCTAGCAACATTTGGAAAGTAAGAATTTTAGGTCAGCTGATTTTGTGATATGTCGTCCTTCTTGCACTTTCGGTTAGACTCTGGGCTATCTGGCTGGCGGTAGCGGTTGCGTTCATTAGTGCGCATCCTACCTGTCCAGGTAATAATCCTGTATTTTAAAAACATTTTAGAAGGCGTAATTTTTAATTTTTTGCTTTTAAATAAGTCTACCTGACATACTTTTTTTATTGCCAGACATTTTTGACAATGCTAACTATGTGCCATACGCGATTTTTTCTTTTTGTTTTATAAAAATTTCAAAGTATTTTATAATGTCTGTAATTTAAATATTATGTTATTTAAAAATAAGAAAAACTTAAAATAAATTTGCCAGACATTAATTCGATTGTTAAGTCTTGAATTAAAATTAAAAAGTCATGAAAAGTATTGCAGTATGATGCTAGTAGTCCGAGAGAGATAGTTGCAGAATAAGTCGAGAATGATACAGAGAACCATTACGAAAGTTAATTACTTTTCACTGTGCATATAATAAAAATAATAAAAATAAGAATAATAATAATCATCATTCTAGTCAGAGCAAGTGTGAAATGGAATATTTATCAATAATAACTAAAATGTTTTATAACGAACTAGAAGAATTACACTGTTTATTTTTTTTCTGTTGCAGATGATAGAGTTTTAGAAGATAACGAAAGTTCCCAAGAAGATGATATGAATGACACTGACAAATGGCAGCGACGATGATGATGATGATTATGAAGATGCCTCTTTTTTTTGTGACGTCAATATAGGCTGAAACAACTTGAAAAACTTAATATTAATTATTTATAATTTACATTTAGTAATCAGAACAATTTAAATAAAAAGTGTTGTTTTTTAAATTTTAATCTAATTTTATATTCCTTTTTATGCTTAAATTGTTTTTGAAACTTGCTCTGACTAGAATGATGATTATTATTATTCATATTATTATTATTTTTATTATATGCACAGTGAAAAGTAATTAACTTTCGTAATGGTTCTCTGTATCATTCTCGACTTATTCTGCAACTATCTCTCTCGGACTACTAGCATCATACTGCAATACTTTTCATGACTTTTTAATTTTAATTCAAGACTTAACAATCGAATTAATGTCTGGCAAATTTATTTTAAGTTTTTCTTATCTTTAAATAACATAATATTTAAATTACAGACATTATAAAATACTTTGAAATTTTTATAAAACAAAAAGAAAAAATCGCGTATGGCACATAGTTAGCATTGTCAAAAATGTCTGGCAATAAAAGAAGGATGTCAGGTAGACTTATTTAAAAACAAAAAATTAAAAATTACGCCTTCTAAAATGCTTTTAAAATACAGGATTATTACCTGGACAGGTAGGATGCGCACTAATGAACGCAACCGCTACCGCCAGCCAGATAGCCCAGAGTCTAACCGAAAGTGCAAGAAGGACGACATATCACAAAATCAGTTGACCTAAAATTCTTTCTCGAAAACGTTGCTAGCTCCTATACCATTGAAAGAGTCTGGATATGCTTTTGTAAGCCACGTTGACGATCGCTATTGTACACGTAAGACTGCTTCCACGAAGACTATCCTTGATCATATATGCACCAACCTTAAGGACAAAACCTTTCACCTGGCAATTGTAGAATCCCCTCTATCTGACCATAAGCAAATACATCTGAGTATGAATAAATATAAACCATTACCAAGAGAACGAGTTAAATACATGGCTATTGATTATCAAAAACTATTTAATAGCGTTAAAGGTACAGAATACCATCCAGACGAGAACAGCTACGCAAACTTTGAGAGATACTTAAAAAATGCCATCAAGAACATCAATTTTGATTTTATCAGTACAACTGAGAAAATCAAAATTTCGAACCCCCCACGACAGGATTGGACTTGCAAAGAAATTCTAGATAAAATCATGATAAGAAACAAAATCTGGCGTAAACTAAAACAGGACCCTAATAATGAAGATTTGCTTAAAACTTTCAGAACAGAACGAAAAGTTACTAGTCAAATGATTAGGAACACTAAGCAGAAATATTACCATGAACAGTTTAAGAAATGTACAACAGATCCTAAAAAGATGTATAACTTAATTAATACTTTGTCTAATAATAGAACCAAGTCAGAACGCACTCCCCCTAAATTGCTGACAGAGAGCGGTACTTTAACGAATGGTAATATGATCTGTAATGAATTTAATTGCTTCTTTTCTACGATTGGCTCCAACCTTGCAAACCGTATACTTACACAAAAACAACACGATATCATAATACCACCAGACACCCGAACATGCAACACAACATTTACTACTTTCACCCCTTGCCGATCTCGCGAATTGTCCAAAATAATTAAAGGCCTTAAACTAAACTGT